ACTGAAACCAGTTTAAAATTTTATTTATTTGACGAATGCCTTTATAATAACCTTTCTGTACAGCTCACAGTTTAGTTATTTTACTTTATATTAGCAACTCTTTAGTCAGATTATTTTGTAAATAGCTCACATATTATAAATTTTATCCATTCAGCATGCATTTTAATTAAATGCTCTAGTTTTATTATTGAGATAAATTAAATAATTTGCTTAAATCTTTTGCTGTCCAATCAATGTATGGTTAGGACCGTTTTGGGGCACAACGTAACATTCTGGTATACGTTAAAGGTATAATTTTGTTAGTGATGAACCGCTAACCCAATTTTCGAGGTGACACTTATTAGTGTTCAGAAACTTATAAGTTGCAAACCAACCTGTTCTTCATTCAAAACCTTTTTTATTGTTAAATCTCTCATTTTCAGCCAAAACTATTAGTCTGCCGTCACCTTTCAGAACACATTCCTCTCCAACGTTTACCTATCTTGTTATCAAGAGCATATAATGCTTTAGTTTGGGTTATTTCCTTATTATTACTTAGATATTGTGACTGTGAGACCTGAAACTTTACTGTAGTTTATCTTACTTGGATGGCAAAACATTAAACCAAAGCAAAAATATTTCAGCAACGAAATGGTCTTTCGGTTCAAATGTTCAAACTTACTGCTTGAAGCTCTATTCTTCTATATAGTAGATACACTCTTATGGAGTTTGTTGTTACTTATCGTATTTTTTCAGTTTTATTTTTGAAATAGACTCTTTATTTCCAGTCTCTTCAGAGAATCCATCATTTGTTCTTCTTTTCCATATGTGTTTCAAAAACCTTAATTATTTTTTTAGAATACTTTCTGGTTATTTTTTATTCATTCCTTATTACTTTACTTATCATCATACGTGCGTTTGCACATATTATGGGGAAAAGTTTGCAATTAAGATTTTTATCGGATCAAATGACTAAAGTTTACCTACAAAAATTTACTAAGAATGTTTCCTTTCTAAAGAATCAATTGTATTTTCTCCCATTTTGGATAAAAATCCAAATTTTAAAAGCAAATCATAAGAAAAATAGATTGTATATTTGTACTTCAGTGAACTCTGGTCACAAATCATATAAACAATATATTCAAGGATTCTTAATAAATGCAGTCAAATTGTCTTACAGTTCTTGTGTAAGGCTCCTGAGTAAATAAAAGGCCCAAATAATATTATAATATTAACTGAAAATCCCCAAACCAGTCAAGCAAAATACAACTAAGTATACAATATTCAGAAGAATTGCTCAATATGTATGCCTTATTTCTTTTAATCATTTATAAATTGACAATCATCACATTTAAATAATACTTGTCGATTAGGGTTTAGTTTCCAAACAATGCCAAATTAGAACAAAATTTTGTTAATAATTGCCTCAAACTGTTTTTAAATAATGACTTCTTTATTTGTTTTAAGTAGAAATAAACAGATTCAACGCCATTTATCAACTTTACTCAAGGCCACTTTCCCATTACCAGCTCAAACCTAAAATCATTTTGAATTCTATTATTTACGCTTTACTGCTGCCGCCATATGTGGCCGTTACTACTTGAGGCTTAAA